GCGCGATGTTGTATCTGTGTAACCATATAGGTAGATAGATATTCTACCTTACATGTGCGTCCTGCTCCTTTACTTCGATATAAAAATTTTTACATGTGGTCTTAACCGACATGGTGCNCGATGTTGTATCTGTGTAACCATATAGGTAGATAGATATTCTACCTTACATGTGCGTCCTGCTCCTTTACTTCGATATAAAAATTTTTACATGTGGTCTTAACCGACATGGTGCATAGTATTCTAGATAGAATATATAGGACACAACTTAATGTAGATAGAATATATATATCTATCAAGCGAAAAAGGTTCTACTCGGCGCTGCCGAGCTAAGGGTGCAGGGCCCTGCCTGCGGGGCTTCACTCGGGGTAATACGTGCCGTTTCGGGACAATACGCGGCGTTTCGGGGGGTAATTTCGGGGTAATTTTCGCCCAAAAACGATCATTTTCATCAANATTCTAGATAGAATATATAGGACACAACTTAATGTAGATAGAATATATATATCTATCAAGCGAAAAAGGTTCTACTCGGCGCTGCCGAGCTAAGGGTGCAGGGCCCTGCCTGCGGGGCTTCACTCGGGGTAATACGTGCCGTTTCGGGACAATACGCGGCGTTTCGGGGGGTAATTTCGGGGTAATTTTCGCCCAAAAACGATCATTTTCATCAAAAAAATTTGACCCCGGATATCGATGCTTCTCGACCTTGCGGTTCTTCTCAACTATTTTTCGCGTGTCAACTCTCAAAAACACGCGAGAAAAGTGGGGGTCATGTTGTGGAAAAATTTGACCGGACGGACTCTAGTCTCAGGGAGTAAGGAGAGAATAAACAACAGGCAAGCACGACCGAGAGAGAGGGTATATGGCTTCGGAGTACGGGCGGGCGCGGCTGACAAGAAAACAAGAGAACACGGCGTATCAACTCAGCTTGTTGGTTGCCGGCCACTCTTCCACCACAAAGATTGTGAAGAACTACTGAAGCGAGAGGACCACCATTTTCAACATTTTTAGACGTGAACGCGTGCCAACGACGATGTATCGTTGGACAGTCATTCTCCATGACCAGGACACAAAACACGCACGCGCGTAAGCAACTACTGTAAGTTATGTCTACTCTGTGGTCCGGGCAATCGCGGACGGAAAAGCCATTCAACCAAACCGTTCAGGACTCAAATCACAGTAGTACCATCTCGTCCCGACTGATGGAAAGAACAAAATTACCGGAATGAACAAGCGACGCACACAACGCGCGACTTCCCTTGACAAAATGAGTCGCCAAACATCAGAGGGAAACGAAGCAGACGGGCTGGAGAAAGAAAGTGCAAGGAGGCCGAGACAAGCTACCTGATGCTTGTCTACCTCCACGGCCTTCAACTACGTAGGTGAGGGATGGCACGTCCTGAAGGCGCCATTCCACACGACGACTGCCCAATGCATAGATGCACCGAGCTATTGCAGCTCGTCTGTTTACGCATCGCCTGTTCGACGCTCAAGGAAGGCGGCCTCGCTACTACAACACCCATTCTTTGCCCGCTGCGCCACTCGGCACTTTCCCACCCGATTTGAGAGCAAGCACCTCACAGGTAGGCGAAACAGGCGATCCAGTAGGCGTTGTTTTTCAGATCTTCGTCGTCATCTTTACCCTCAGCAGAGCCTTCGAGCTGCAGCACCACTGATGCTATGCCCAGGGGAACCTTTGTGATCCACTTGAGGCTGGCAGCAACAATCACCACCGTGACCTTGGTGAAAGGATCGGCTGCCGATTTTACAATCTGCTTCCCGAACGCCGTGGCTATCTGACTGGCTCCCTTGAAGATCCCGTGAGAACCTGTGGAGAAGGGTGTTGTTGTTGGGTCTCAGGGCTGATATCATCTGACTATTGTTCATTTCTGCATTCCTGCATGTCGCCTTCGTGTGTGGCGGTAGACCCCAACATGATCGGTCGAATCATTCAGAAGCATCCAGCAACAGTACATTGGCTTGATGGCCGGATCCCTGGTCAGAGTACAGACATTTCTCATCAAGTCGTCACCAGCCCCATCGACTCGAGTAGTTGGCTCCTTCAGGACAGCACCTCCGTCACTCCTACGTCGCAACCAAGTATCGCAGAGTGGTGACTGCACACATCACCTTGAAACTTCATCGTTCTTTCCTGGCGGCCGCCCTCGTCCAGCTCCTTTGCAAGCGCGATCAACCTACTCCCCCTCGCGATCTCAGCGATACCGTCGGCTATGTCGAAAATAATCGCCGGGGCAGTTCTGGAGGGGAAGGGTGAAGGCAGAGGGAATCCAAGGCACGGGAACCGGTAGTCTGTTATTAAGAGGACATGCACGCTTGGGAAGGGGAGGGGAGCTCGTGTAGAAAGCGTTCGGCTGACCGCTCAGTACCATGCCAGAAATGAAACCAGTACGGCAGGGTACGACTGTGACGACGCGAATACCGGGACAAGTTTTGGGTCCGTTCATGCTGGTTCTCTAAAAACGTTCATTCCTACAGGTCACATGTGCGGTCGATACTCTCAACGTTCAGTCAGCTATTGACAGGAGAGAGTGAGTCTGGCCGATGCCGTCCATCTGTAGAAATATTAATCTGACAAGCCGGCTTGTTTCGACAGTGAACCAAAAATTTCAACCACAACAGAACAACTCGTCTCGCCCGCTTGCTTACGCGTTCTTTGGCGGTTGTCCCCCCCCCGTTGTATCCATGTTGGCCAACCCCCCTGCTCCTGGCGCAGACGCCTGCCCTCCGTCCACATTAAGGCTAATTAATACCCCGGCCGCGTCAAACATTGTCAGGAAAGAGAAGAATGTTTTGTCTTTCCTGCAGGGGCAATAACAACAGGGAAGAGGGTTTTCTCGAGCTCAGCTTCTAGAAGCACGTCTCCGCTGTGATCAGCATGCTCAACACCAACTACAGCATACAACGTAAGGCTTACCTAATATGCAGCATTTTGAGCAACGTAACGACGAGTTTAGAACACTGAAGACCCGTAGTATGAGGAAATTGCTGGGCAAGAGTTGAACGTTATTCGATCCCCCCCTGGATTACGACCATGTCAAGTCCTCGACGCGAGCCGGGGAGAAATATCATGGACAGCCACACCCGAACGGAAAACAGTTGTCTCACCTCTTCAGCGGTGTTTTCGGCCCGGTGAAATAGTCGCCAACATATACCATGGTTGATGCGAGGTTCAAGATCTTCTGGAGTGCCCTGCCGTAGCTGATTATCTTGAAGATGGGGTGCGACTTCGCGAAGCGCTTCGTCAAGAATTTACGGTCCCCCGCGGGAATCGTGGTGATGGTGACCATTGCTGCGATACGAAGCGGCAGTGAACGCCCCCCAACACCGTAGCAAGACGATTCAGCACGAAAGCGTCAGCGGCATCCACTCACACCCAGAACTTCAGCGGGCTACTCCTCAGATAACCCTATTCAGAGCCAGCGTATGTCTTAGCGGAACATGTCGTTGCTACATCTAGCTCACAAAAGATACAAGACGACGCAAAATGTTGCTGCCGGATATGACCAAGAACGACGAGTCGGGAATCGTTCCATCACCTTGGCAAGGTATCGTGACGCCGGACATGGCGATGGAGGCCATCTTCAGAACGGCCCAAATGCTTTTCTGGAAATCAGTCCCAGGCTTCTCTTCGGATTCCCCCGACCTTGATGTGTAGACGAACTCGCTGCAAGTGACGCGCGGACAAGGAAGCAGCCTATTCAGGCAGTTCATATCCTGAGGGGACTGCTTGGGGTGAAAAGTGATGCCAACAATACCACGTCCGTTTGCTTGTTGCACCAAAGGCGTGGACAATTACTCATCGCCAGATTTCCTTCACCGGCAGGGACTGGTAAACAAGTGGCACAGAAATACTCTCATCACTCGACCCGGTGTCCCTTTTAGTCACGGGGCAGTAATGAAACAAAACCCTCCAGGCAAGCGCTGTTACCTGCTGCTGTCATCACCAGGAAGGCTCCTCGTCAGATGCGCTGGAGCATCTGTCAGGAGAAGGATTGATGTGCGTGGGAGTTGTCTAAAGCTTAATGCCGCACGTGCGGTTTAACACAATATGCACGGAAGACGATAGCAGGGGTTTTGTTCGTTTTTCTTTATCTAAGGTTCGTGCCTAGAGTTCAGCTGAAATGTTTCAACCAAAGTTTTGTTGACTTAGAGGCAAACATTCCTAGCTATTGGGCATCGAGTTAATTTGGCTTGGCATGACGGCCTTTACGATCGACTTTTTATTGATGTCTGCATTTATCTGCAATTGTCGGAGGGCAAACAAAATAATAATAGCAGGGAAAGTTGAAAAAAGCTCGGAAGTGGTCGAATCAGCGACAATTGTTCCGATGTGTACCGAACGTCAAGTCTTTCCTTCCTTCACGAGGACAATGTACAACTATTGGTGGCTGCTCGCAGAACGACACCAGCTCGTTCCCCTCTGACCTGCGTCGGTAGAGTCGGGCTCCTGGCCAGCGATCGACAAGGTGCTGCCTTTGGCGCCGGTCAATTGGTCGACCGAGACCACTTGCGATGGCCAGCGTCCTAGAATTGCCTTGGTCATGTACGTCACGGGGATCGCAAATATGAAGAACAACGCCTTCGCGAGCTTGAGTTTGCGCCCCGTGATGAGCTTGTAGATCTCGCTGATGACCGGGATGTATATTGGCCCCCCGTCGGCGAGCCAGTCGCGGAACTTCTTCGCTACGAACTTGAGGATCTTTACCATTAACTGTGTGCCGCCCTGTGCGACGTCCGAAACAAACATCGGCACGAGCAATGATTTCCTATAGCGACGGCAACACATCCTGCACAAGGGACCATTGCCAGCCAAAACAAAGGAAGCGCACGACATGGGCTCCTCTTTCCTCCTACTGCTTGCTCCCACGCAATCAATCCCGTAGTGACGCGCACATAGAAACTCCCTCCACTGCTTACAGGTCTAGCACAAGGGGCAGGGGCTCCGAAGGTTGCCATCACCCACCCCCTCTCCCCGAGAATGTCCAACATACCTCCAGCAGATCGACAATGCCTTCGGCCAGCGCGGACATAAAGGCGTTCAAACCCTCTTTCAGTTTCTCGTACAAGAAGTTGAGCTTCTGCGCCACGGTATCCATGCCCGGGTCGTCATCATCGCTGTCTTCCGATGATTTTCCCTTGTCTTTCGAGTCATCTGCTCGACACAGGCGTGTACAACGGGGTGGGGGTTGCGGCATGGTTGACCACTCCAGGGTGGACTGACGTTCGACGTTGAGAGTGTAACTGCAGGGTACTTGGTCAAATGGGGCTGCGAGCAGCACACAACGTAGACCCAATCAACACGCACGACGGAATATCGAGCCAAAAAGCGCACACTGACTGACTGTCAACATGGGAGACCTCCAAGCCATGTCAGGAAGCATTCCTGTTTCGCAAGGTTTGGTAGTTTCTTGCCCGCAGCGTCGGTGAGCAATCACGAGATGGATCCCGTCGTCAACCCACCCTTTGTATCCGTGGGGGTCCCTGCGTCGTCGAAGGTGCCGCACGTGGTGTGGTGCTGAATGAAATTTTCCTTGGGATCCACCTCGCGGTCGTCCGGCGTCGTGTCCTCCGTGCTCATGTCTTGGGCATCGAGGTCAAGACCGCTGCAGGATAGCGACGACAGTAAGCGGTGTTGCCAGAAAACGTAAGGAACGGAACAAGCCAAGAATGCATTGTCCGGGCCGTTGTGAACTACGGCGACTCCTCACAGAAATGCAAGCGGTCCCAAAGCTCAGGATTGCTCTGCCTCGCGCTGGGTTCAGGTTTCTGGTTTAGGGATGGCGCATGGGATTTTCACTGATGGCGCTGAAACATAGAACCAATCCTCCGAGGACCGAGCCGAGGTGATCCATAAGAAGTAAAAACGGTATGAGTATGGGGAGATGACGCACAGGTTCATGCGATGTGATCGCCGGGTGAGAACTGCCGTGCAGCCTCGACAACCTACTTCTCTTACACAGCACAAAGAAATAGTACCGTCTCATGGTTGCAAAACAAGTGTTGATGGCGGGAGGGGCTCGCTCACGTCTTCCTCTCCAGCATGAGACGAAGGTCGTTGAAGAACTCCTTGACTGCTTCCTCAGAGGGAATCGTCGCGATGAATTGGTCGATCCCATAAATCGCCCCGGCTTCCAGTATCTCGGCGGTCTTCAAAATCTCTTTGTACTTGAAGAAACTGGCGAGCCATTCGATAGCCTTCATGATACCCGTCTATTCGGTCGCCACGGGAAGTCCAGACACGGAACGGTTGGCTATGTTCAACCCAATTGTGTTGGGCAGCGGCTTTTGGAGCTTTTTTTCCGGCGGAACGAACATGTCATGGGTTTCGATTGGTGGTGCTCCACTTCGTCGTGAAACTCAGTCCACTCGCCATCGGGAGGTGTTACGGCACAGTCTGGTCACGAGTGCATCTACAGTACGCATGAGGTGTCTAGGGAGTCGACCTGGACTACAATGCCAGCCCCCAAGACCGCTTGACTGCCGACCTGGACTACGAATTCTTCCAGTCCCCAAGGCCGCTTCACCCACGTGCATACACCTTGCACTCCTGCCTAGAGAAATGGTCCATGCAACGGAGAACAGTATTTCGTTTTGCGCCACCTCTGCCTCGACCCGTACTCGTCCAAACCTTGATTTTGTCCCACAGCCAGTCGAGTGCCTTGACGAGCTGCTCGAGCTTGGTTTCAACGAAGTGATACACCACCTTGCCGATCTTCACCATTAAGTCCACCCCCTTCTTGACAACTTTCTGGAAGGGTTGGCACATAGCAAGAAGCGCCAGGGTAGGGAAGTGGGACCGATCGCAGTCAGTTGCATGTGTTCTGTGGATGGGTTGCACTGATCAAGGTCTTTTATCTTGGCTTTCGAGCACATTAGAATTACTTTCTTTCACTCATCCGCCTTCCTCGAATCCTGACAGACTCGATACACGGGGATGGAGTGTTCGATCGTTCATGATATGTACATATGCCGAGTCATACTGAATGACGTCCGAAGTGGACCATCATCATAAACAGAAACTTCAAATGAGTTTGTAGAAGAGTATCGCCTAGAAAAATGGAGAGTTGTCGCTGTCCAAATGAACACATTTTCAATGCCACGAGGAGCTAGCTCACCGCTACTTTCCTGGCCACCTTCTTCAGCCCCTCCGGAGTGTGCTCCCACACCTGAGTACCCGAAAGAAGATTCGATGGGACGTGAGTCGGCGGGGGGACCACATCGTTGATCACAATGATACAACCAACCGACGTCATTCAGGCTTCGAACGAACACGAGCTGGCAAGCAGCAGGGCCAACACGGTCATGGTTGGACAGAACACAAAACGTCGACATCCGAGAGCGACAACTGTCGCCAGCCTAGTCTTTACAACTACGTCGACTTGAGGGAAGGCGCTGGTGCCGTGCACCAAACCAAACCATTTGCAACATCGTGGCTCTCCAATATCCACTATGATAGCGTATCCCGTGGATGAGGCCGTCTGCTGCGCATAGGATTTACCTCTCATTTTGACTGCATCTCACCTCCTCGACCACCTCTTCCACCACGTCGACCATCTTCATGGTAACATCGCCCACGACCTCGGCAGCGTCCTTGGCGACGTCCTTGACCTTTACCATTGGATAGCAAAAAGCGGGTTGGGAATCGTAAATTTCTGCGATAGGATCTGCAATCACGCGCGCGTCGCCAAGCAGGGAAACTTTTGTGGCATATTCAGGAAATGAACCCATGCCTAACGAACGAAGTAAGCGGTTCGGACGTCCGAATGTACTCCCGCAGAACCTGCCCTAATTGGGAGTCGTATTTCTCGGCGAGGCAAGACTTGTCGCAACTACCGGCCCCTTGCTCTGATGACGGGTTGTTCAAACTTTACCCCCTTGATCTACGCTGTCTAGGCTTCCCGATGGCGCACAAGAAAGGTGAACAGGCGTAAAACAGCACAGCGTTTCGCACCTTGTCGGCAGCGTGCACGACCCCGTCCTTCACTTTATCCGCCACATCCTCGACGCCGTCCTTTATGTCACCCGCCACATCTCCCACCTCGTTCACAGCTTTCTCTGCCAGCTTCGCCGCACCTTCCGCGGCCTGCTTCGCCCCAGCCGCCGCTATCTGCGCCTTGTCTACAACCTTCCGGGGGACAAATGTATGGAAGTAGACCACCATGAATAGAAACATCTGCCTGCTTCCTTTCGGGGCGGAAAGACTCTCTACGCGCTTGTCATGACAAACAACACGGCGAGGGGGGAGAACAGGGGGTGCATCTCGCCGTAGAATAAACTGATATGCCCGTTCTCTACTTCGGCAACTCCACAGCATCGATCAAATCGGCTCCGTTCACCGGTTTTCGGGGATGCCGTGTCATGTGCGTATGACCAACTGTTTTACAGCTCCCTTAAGTTTATGTACTACAGTACTTGACCCCGTTATACATTGAAGCAGCATGCCGATTGTCTCTCACCTCTTTCGCCACAAGCTCCCCCGCCTTCTTTATGTCTTTGGCGGCTTGATCCACGGCCTTGGCAGCCTTCTCCGCTTCCCTCTTGGCCTTGAGGGCCTCTGCTTCTGCTTTGCGCGCTGCATCCTTGGCGATTCTCTCTGCCTCCCGCTTCGCCTGCGGTAGTGCCAATCAAAACCCGTCCACAATGATCATTATCGCTACTTCAAGTACTCTCTCATCCAATCATATTTATATAGTTACGCATCTCCTTTGCCCGACATGTCACCAGCGACGTCTGAGTGCCGGCTAGATGGGGCAATATACTTTTTGGCTTGTTTGTGCGCTCTGTTCGCGTTCGCGGTGATGCTGCTTTTCTTACCTGCACAATTATCGGGAAATCGGATGGTGACCACGGAGGACGTCCGCGCCCGTTAGACTGGTAGATGTCTCAAGGTACAAAGGAGAGAACGAAACGACTTTCATCCTTGAAAGCAACAGCCGCAAACATCTGCTGTGCAGAAACACCTAATGGACAAATGAACTCGCCTGTTTAGCTGCCTCCTCGGCCTTTCGGGCGGCGGTCTGAGCCGCCTCCTTCGTTTTTTTCGCCGCGTTCTGGACGCCGGACTTGACCTTCTTGGTTGCTTTCTTGATCCGGCTGCCAAACTTTCTGCTGGTATATTCTGTCGACCTGTCGAGGGCCAGCACATGGCGTTCGATCAACACAGGCCACCACAACCAATTAGAGAAACGCTCGGGGAAAGAAAACAGGGTGTGGCTGTCCTTCGATATTTCGAAAGAACGCAGGATCTCCTCATACGACGCTTCGGCTGGGTAGGGGGGCATCTCACCCGTAGGCGCCGTCATGTCCGTCAATCTCTTCCTCTCCCAAGTCTTCTTCGGAGTCTAGAGCTTCTGCGGCCTCCACCTCCTCGACTGCTTGGAGTTCGAAGGCCGCCGTTTGGGCTGCCTTCACAAGCCGGGCGGCCTCCATGGCCGTTTTCGCGGTTTCCTGCCTGACTGCCTCCCACCTTGGATCCTTAAGGCACTCAGCTGTAGTGTCAGTGATTGGACGTCTGGTCGGTATCCCAGCCTCCATGGTCTCAGAGCCAAACAGCCCACTGCTTGTGTACCCGGGCGGCCTGAGAGCATCGCCAACAACACCATTCGCGGTCCGTCGGGTGAACACGTTGCGTTCTACACTTCGCAACGGTGAATGGCATCGATGTTTATCCATTGAACAACCTCTGGTGATACGGCCTTGTTTCGCAACCAATATTATCATGCAAACGAGACGAGAGCCTGAATAGATGTTTCGTAACGTTTCTGGGTTTGAACACCAACGCAACCGCGCGGAGAAAAGCGGGCAGTCTCACGGATGTGGAGAACTGCCTGAACGTCGCTTTAACACCGCAGGATACCGACCGAAACTACCGCTCATGTATTCCAGGCCCCATACGATCCACGAGGCGTTGCCTTGACGGCGGAACGGACAAACAATCACGACAATGACGTTTGGACGCTTCACCAGGCGAGTCGAAATCACAAGGACAATACGTAATTGCGTGACAAATAGTCTCACGGTAAACGAGTCGTCAAATGTGACCGGTGCCATAACCAAATGTGTAGTCCTACCTTCTGTTGATGAGGCCATATGTATTTTCGCGTGCTTCTGGTGTGTAGCCAACGAAACCATCCAAGTTCCCCTTAAGCAGCATCACATTCACTCACCCATGTGCAGCCTGCGCAACTTCTTTCTCAGCCTCCCGCTTGGCTTCGTCTGCCAACTCCCGAAGTTCGTTGGCGATGGAATCAAAGAAGCCCTTGTTGGAGGACTCCGCCGACCTGTCAGGAATACCACAGGTTGACCAGGGCATATGGCGCATGAATGGAAAAATAGTGAGTTATCAGACGAGCTACTATAGCAAAGAAGGACCGCGGACATGGCGGGGCAACGCACGCCATCTCGCGAGTTCAGCCAACCGTTGGATTGTCGCCGTAGTGCTCACCCAAAGTCCCGGGGGTTACTGTCGTCAGGATCACCTCCTTTGCGCTCTGGCTCTCCCGTGTCATCGCCCAGGGCTTCTTTCGCTTGTTCCGCTCTCTCCATCGCTTGGGCCGCAGTTTCCACAGCCTGTCCTGCAGCTTCCACGGCTTTAAGCACATCAGAGTGTGCGGGAGTGCTCACAGCCGGTTGCCTGTAACGAGCAGCAATAGCCGGCGAGCGGCCATGATAGCCTGGCGAGCGGCCAGACCAAGCCGGCGACTGTCCGTGCCCTGCACGTACTGGCAGGTGTGACGAGCCACGCCCAGGGCGTGCTCCCACCCGCTTGGCCTCGGCCGCTAGCCATAGCTTCTTCGCCACGGGGCCAAAGAAATGGTCTCTGGAGTACTCGGCCGATCTTTTCAGGTGAAGCACACGAATAACACCATCAACAAACACGACGCAAGCACGACAATTAGTCGGTACAAGCGCTGCAGAGGCCTAGATGCTTGGAACTGCGATCGCTCCGCAACCCTACAACTCAATCACGCACCATTCCTCTCTGCAACATACATCGACTAATGGGAAGGCGGGCTATTTCCATTCTACTGTACCACTCACAGGTACCCGCCAGCTTCGAAATCGCTAAGGTCGACCAGTTGACCGTCCGAGCCATGCAACTTCTCCATGGCCTTGGCCTGCTCCGATTTCTGTTGCGCAACTCCGGCCGCCTCTACCGCTCGTGCCGCTGCTTCCATCGCCCTCGCCGCTTCCTCGTCCGGACCTTCCACTCCAAGGATAATGTCCACCTGTGACTCTTGCGAAGCTTTCCTCGCCCCAAATGTTTGTGCAGCTTTTATCTCTCCGATGTCTTGAGAGGCTTTCATCTCCACCTCTTCGGATGCTTTGACCGCCGCCTCCGCCGCTTCGACTGCGGCTTGCGTCCAACGAACCGCTTCCGCCGCCTGCTTCGCCTCCCCAGCCCACTTCGTCGCCTCGGCAGCGTACTCCGTGGCCTGCTCTTGAGCGCGCTCAGCGTTGCTCAGCTTGGCTCTGGAATGTTGTCGTGTAGAGGTCCAACGATATCGTTTTCCTTAGACAACGCTCTCCCTCTCTATTAGGGGAAGACACAATTGTTGCTATCATAGCTCCAACGCCGACACTAGTGCGGCGTGTAGGGGATGGAGATGTGCAGGGCGATACACCGACGTATGTCCCACGCTCCCGCAACATGCGCTAGGCAGGACGAAGGCCCAACAACCGACAATGTCTTGTGTCGGGATATCATAGCCAGAGACGTTCACCATGAGCGCCATAGGAGATTTATACCACGGTACATTTCAATTGCGTACCGGCGAGAGAGGCCGTCAAGGAAAATACGAACCGAAGTGTGGGTACGCGATTTCACGGCACAAAGTGCACACGTGGTTCATCAACACTTTAGCGATTCTGATAATCCTTCATGCTCTTACCTGAGAGCCTCGGCCGCGTGCTTCTTCGTCTCGTAAATGGCCTCATCAGCGTTTTCTCTGGCCTTCTTGGCGAGGTTTCCCATGTTCTGAGGGGAAAGAAACGATAGAGAGGAGAGATCCAACGACGATGAAGAGACACCCAAGGGTCAATACTTAGTGCTGGGGTACACGGTACGTGAGTTTGAAGCCGCCTGGTAAGCAGATATCGTACGGGTTTGAAGGCACATAAGTCAACCAACGCCATGCGACTGTTGTCATACAAACAGAGGCAAGCACTGCCAAGACAAAAGAGTACCGCGCATGGAATGAAATATCTGCCACGTACCCGGCATTCAACCCGGCGCACACGCTCGACGCCCAGGTGTCCCATGCCGAACGGGTCAGGAGCGCAACGGTGTTTGGTGAAACGCCTGACTACCGGTCCGCGCCCATGTAATGCGGAATCGCCTCGGAAGACCGAAGTGCGCCTCTGCGGGGTGGCCATCTAAGGGTGGGGTAGGGACGGAGGCGAAAGCGGTAGGTAGATGGATACCATGCGAGAAGGAACGGCCATGCTTCGAACATGCCCAGAAGACTAGGGCAGATAGTGTTCGAGTCAAAAGGCAACCTACGGCAGAAGGTGGTGAAAACGCACCAAACACGAGAGAATGGGCGGCAGCAAGGATGGTTCCAAGCAGTTGCTCTTACCCGAGTGTTGGCGAAGTCATCCAGACACACTGTGGTTGAAACCGATAGCGAAGACAACCAACCTGTTGCATGGAAGGCGTATCGATGTGATTCGTCCCCAACAACCGAGCTAACGCAATACGCGACCACCCACCAACACAGAAGGAGTTTGCTGTACCTCTTCAACCAGTTGCCCCAGTTGGGCACCAATGAGCAAGCCAGAGGTACGGGTTGCCAAGGCAGGAGTGCGTCGTTCTGACATCCACCAAGCCGGTTGTCGTTACCACTTCTCACCTCTTTCAGTTCGCCGCCGATGGGCTCGGCGCCAGCTCCGCCTTGCAGGGGACCGGGGGCGCCGCCGGGAGACGGAGGGCCATCACCGACTTCCTCGTCCTCGAAAGCGGGACCCTCGTCAACGAAAGCGACGAACTGGTTCTCTTCGTTGAAGGCTCGGCCGGTTAGGCGGAAGATGCCGTCCACATCCTACAGTAAGGCGACAGCAGCGGAGAGAGTTTACGGCTAACTGTTCGGCGGTGGAATTATTGATATTGGTGCATATGCAGAGGTTCGACACAGAGATGACAGTGGGAGCAGCGCCACCAAGGGTGTAGCGTACGTTGCATTTCAAAAGCAACAAGTATTCTTTTCTGACAGTAATCTTAAGCGTTTTCTCGTGGGGTTTTGCCTTGCATTTGAAAGACGGGTTGCTCACGTTTTTCTTCGGAAATTCGGTCGGAGACAGGACTTTGAACCCCTTCGCGAGCTGGGCGACCGCTTCAACGAAGTCGTTCAAATCACCATCGTCGGGGTCGTCGATCAAGCTGGTGGTCGATCGTTGGGTACGGCGTTGAAACGAGCGAGGAGGGACGGGGGGTGGCGACAGGACGTGAGTCTAACGGCCATCATCAGCGACAAGAAGCGATGTGCGTGTTTCCCATGGGTATTCCTCGAGTGTCACACCACTCCGCGGCGTAATCTCTACGGAATTACGTGCGCCGGGGCACGTATGTCTTCGAAACAGCATTGCGTGCGCCGGGAGAACCTTCCCATGAGATGTGAACAGCAGATACCGCCTCCATTTCCAAGCCATCTCGCGCTTGACACCTTCATTCTGTAGTTTCGTTTGAAGTTTCCGATGATGCAAGGGCAACAAGGAACGCCTGCAACACTACGTCCAAGTTTCCGGGGGTGTCGGGCTTGAACGGCCTCCTTCCAGATTCGACTACGGGGTTGTAGTGCACCCAAACACACACTACGTAAGCATTAGCGTTAGCGTGGGTTCTTGGTGGCGGTACGGTTTCCACGCCAATGTACAGGTAGACAATGAGCGAGTCACCTCTCGGCGTCGTCTCCCATGGCATCGCGGGACTTGGCGCCTTTCAAGGCAGACGCATCCATTTTCTCTAGCTTCTTGGTCAAGATGTTGCCGCACATGATCTCCAGAGGCCTGTCCAAGCCTGGCATCCGGATCGTCACGTGAGGCACGCTGAAGGAATCCACGAACTGGCCGATTCGCACCAAGCCACTCATGTTCGGACGAACTTCAACTTTCCTGAATACATACCACGGATGGATGCAACGACCCGGAGCGGGGGATGTGGTGTCACTAGGGCTGCAGAGACGTTAACAATGATGCACACACACGACAGGTATGGCGCGATCCAAGTACGGCTCCCAATAGCGATGAGAAACGAGAGAGAGAGAGAGGGAGAGGGAGAGGGAGAGAGAGAGCAAGAGAGGGAGAGAGAGAGTGAGACTGCTAAGGCATACGTTACTCGTACGTGCGGGGATCATGTCGAAACCCACCCTATACTGCCTCATCGTCTCGGACCCAATGACGGACTCGAACTACCTGGCTCATCTCGTCAAGTCACGGCCTCCCTAGCCTACTCCCGACCCGGTCCCAGCTCCTCTCTCTCCGGCTGAGAATCCCCGCCGTCGGATGGCGTTGCTAACATTGTAACAGTGCGGGAATGTGCGGAGAGTTCCAAACTCGTACCGACAGAGAGGAACAATACCATAGGCAACAACTTACTTGTCCTTGTGCATGAGGTGCCCCTTGCCGTTGATACGGAATATTGCCCCCGATCCGCACGAGAGAGATATGGCGGGAAGGTCGGCTTCCGCTTCCGCAGCTTGCATGAGGTCGTTTGCAGTCTTCTTGCCGGAGGTCTTCTCGAGGGCAGTAACCTTGAGGTCGACAACCGATCTTCATGCGCAAGAGCAAGTGACAGGAGCAAACATACAGACGAAGACAGTTCTTAAGTCTCGTTCTCCAAGAAAAAAAAAAAGACAAGCACCCAAACCACCCAAAGGTATTGTAGTCTAGTGATCAGGTCCGTTTGAGCGTGCACGGATCAAATTCAAGGTCAAGGTTGGGCTGGGTTGGATGCCAGGGTTCTCTGCGGAGTCCGGTCGCACGGAAGCAGGGAACGGGTGAGGACGAAGACTCGTGTTCCTCTTCTCAGTAGTCACGAGGGATGGCCATATTCCTGGTGTGGTCGGTGTTCCCATTCGATTCGAAGACTCACGCCCCGACAGCAACACACAATTCCAGCTCTTTCAAAAGTCAGACGACCGGTAGGAGTGATGTGCGGGCCGTCGATACCTACAGCATACGTCGACCAGGATTGCCAGGACTCACATGAGGTGCTCCCTAGCGGCTCCTCCAGACACCATGACTTCTTTCTGCATCCACAGGCTCGTGCCTTGGTCCATCATGTGGTGCATAAGGTTCCCGTCCTCTGCAGGATATCGATGGGGGTTGGGTTGTATAAGGAAGGGAAACGCAGAAAACAGGCAATTGTCGGGTGTCCCGCGTACGCCCCAGAGATTCTTTAGTGTGGCACCACTGTACCGTGGTGCTTCTTCATGAGAAATTTCTCCCGCATCAGGGTGTGAGACGTCGAGAAACTGCTACGTCGTTGATATCTGTGTTACGTGGCCAGCCTGGGAGTGTCTACGACATAGTTCATGGGTCACAACCGACAAAAACCAATTCCCACGGTGTACTGCCATCATGATCGTCCAAAAGCACCGGTCTCCGAAACCCTTCTATGGCGTACGTGGGCTACGAAACGTCCGCGCGTGCACTTACTGTTGATGTTGTTGACGTGGACGTTTCCGACCGAGTCTGCGTGGCAGCTGAACGCCTCGACGTTGGGCAGAATGTCGACAGGCTCGTCGAATTTGCTGCCCTCCTCGGGGTCTTGCGACGTGTACAGCAGCTTCCCGCTCTCCTACGTGGTGGACAGGTGGGTGAGCCGTTGTCGGAGGGGTTGGTCAAGACGGAGTTTTGCTAACTCGGCCTTGGAGTGCAACCTTCCCTTGGGGCATCCGGAGCCGTACCAGGTACACGTGGAGGTCCGTCCAATGTGATTGGGCTGCCATTTCTCTGCGGGGGCTTAGGATTTTCGCTCCGCATCTGCTGGAACACAAGCAGCAGGATCTATCTTTTGACCAAGGCGCCGTTGTGTACGTAGGTGTCGTCTCCAGGCTTCACTTACCAGCAGGATGAAGACATGCCTGATGAACTGCTTGTCGATCATGGTGCGCATTTCCTTGGCCGGGGAAGTGAAGTCCACCGCGTTCAAACAGACACTGTTCAAAAAACACGTGGGTGGGGGGGAAATAGTAGGGAGTAAGCTAAACGCTCAGTCGATACGAGGTGAGGGGGAAAGGGTCTACAACACCCTCACGCTTATCCTGGGCGTAGTTCCGCCGGCTTAAACACGACCGGCTTGTCAATCCACTTGACTACGCACTCCACAATATTACGCATAGCAACATGAACATGACGGCGGCTAGTGGCACGGCCAGCGACGGGCTAAACATCCCTGTTGACAATCAACCGAACGTGCTGCAAGGCCTGCTACGCAGCCTCTACGGTGTAGAGTTGATTCAGGGCTCATGCCATATGTTGGGCCAGTTGTGGCACCGACGCAGCATGTCGAAAGCATTTCAGTAGCTGCTCACCCAGCTTTTCCGGTGCTCCCGTCCCAAGATCTGTCGTCGTACCAAATCACTTTCTTGGTCCCGGCAACGTACACGTCTGTATTCAGTCCCTGATAAGCGCAGCCAACACCAAATTCCCATCGTTCGGGAGAAGAGGAATCGTCAGCCAACGGGGACATGTTGACATTTGGCGGGATGATTGGAGGATTTTTTGTCCATGCCACAGCGTCCACGAAAGACATGTATATTGTGGCTCTCTGAGACAACAAACAAGAAATGAGAGCCGAACACAGAAAACGAACAATCAAACTGGGCCGATGTCCGGCAAACGACAATGCCAAGCGGACACTCTGAAACGCAGATGAAGAAAGGAAATTCAGGACAAGTTTATTCCGGCCGCTGCCTGTGCCGACGTACGTAGGCAGGGGTAGTCATGAAGCAGCGGGTGTCCCCGGGGATGTCGATGCTGCCGGCGTAGAATCCTGGGTCGTTCAGGGACTGCGCGTAGAGCATGCAGGGCCGGATCTCGGTCTCGTGGTCCGAGGTGTCACTGCTGTCACCGGCAACGGCTGTCTCCTTGGGGATGGCTGCCGGTAAGGCCATGGCAATGGCGAAAGTCTCGCCGTCCTTCTCGAGGGTGGAAGCTTGCACGGTGGACACCTTGTGAACAAGGAGTCGGTTGAGTGGGGGTTGGAGAGTTGGCAAAGGTCACGCAACTGAAAGCTTCGCGTAGAGGAATAGGCGAGAGTACTGTGCTGGATGCTGGGGGGGGAAGGGGGAGGCGGCCAGAAGAATTATTGGTTCCGGCGCCCAAAGAAAAGGTGAACAGGATATAGCGTACTTCAGGGTCCCTTCTTGTTCGTAGGGCTGTGGTTAACCAGGTACCGTCAGAAACATCCAAGCACACCCTATCCACAGAAAATCCGCGTCTTGGCTGCAGAAAACATCCACCACGCAACAGACGTGATCACCAACATGCCGGAGCTGCAACGCAAAAGACAAAAACACCGCTAAACTTCTCTCTTCCCGATGCGCCTGTTCGATGGGTCAACCTCGTCTGACCTGCTGGTTGGAGGCTCTCATGGCGCGGGGCGTGGGGAACATGGACATTTGTAGGTCGTCGTTGCCTAGAGAGGTGCCGTAGAACACACGCGCCTCGTCCTTCACGTCCAAGGCCTCGACGATGACCAGGTGCTCGCCAGAGGTAGAGGTCGTGGCGGATGTCCTCTTCACCTGACGTTGTTGGTTCATGTTTTGGTTGTCAGCAAGGTGTGGAGATACGATCGATGACCAACGAATGCAACTGCGGATGGATACATGCACTTGTGTCATTTTGTCTGCATTCTTGGCTGACTGGGCAGCTGGGTTTGGCACCTTGGTGCCGACGAAAGACCCGCACGCGGTCCAGTTGAGCGTCTCGTCCCTGGAGTGAGCCAGCTTGTCGCACACCCACACCACGAACTCCGTGCTCTCCGGGGCGACGCCGCTGCTGCCGCCCACGCTTGCCGGCTTGAAGTCTTCCGGAGCGAACACCGCCACAAGAAATGGCTCCTCACCTTCACCCTGTCGGACCGCATTAACACACACACGCCCACGTTCGGATTGGCGGACACACGCACATCTTCAGATTGGTGGTGGTGTTGTGGTGATGCTGTGCGAAACACCCACGCCGTGTCTACGACTAGCTGCAGGCAAGTGGGTTGTTTTGGTCGAGACCTCTTTAGTTTTGATCGAGTAACTCCTCTCATTAGGGGTATACATATGTGTTCACGTTCGAGAATCGGGTTGGAGCATTGGCGGCGAGCAACAAGCTCGACCCACGTTGCGAGGTCGAAGGGAGAGACTTTCAACGCAGGACCAAATTCGCCAGCGTTTGGGAGCATGCTCTGGCTTGTTGTTGCGGTCTACTGGTTGCCGCGCTGTATATCCCGTGGAGGAACGTTGAACCAAATACGCCATACACACAATCCTGTCAACCAAAGGACACACACACATGCGCGCGAGCCGTTCTCGGCTATGGTCACCCCGACATTGACATGCGTCCATTGAACCTGCACATCGACTTGACTTCCGTCAATCTATGGTACGCTACCGACATCAACAGCTCCCTTCGGTGGTAACACGAGTGAGTTCACCTTGGTGGCTTCGACGTACACAGCACGCTTGCCATCGAAACGGGCATCTCCCTTGGTCAAATGCTTCATGCTGTAACCTGTAGAGGACTCAGAGTCCACCCACAGCATGCTGATACCCGCAGCGTGTTCGCGGCCGCTCTCTTCGTCAACGCTGCCAGGGGTGGAGGGTGGGGAAATCGATCTCATCATTTGAAAACATCAACGTAATAAGGCCTCAACGCCGACACGTATGACTGGGCGGAATGATGCCGGACTCGCTACAAGTCAATAACCTTAGACAAGTGCCAGAGAGCAGACAATAGTGCTGAGAACAACGACATTCGCCAAGAGGCGTACCCAGGGTCTAGCCCTGGTACTGCAACACCGGAACGACGCTGCTGCTGTGATTGCTGGCGGTGCCAGATGGTAGAAACACACGTTTCCCTAGACCTGACGCAGCAAATGTCTGTGAATGCCAAGGCACCGTTGGCAACGATGTCCGAGGTCGTGCAGACCTCGGAATGGGCGAAGGGTGGATACCGTACTTGTGTAATCAACCAGCGCATTTAGAAAGTTTCGGAAAACACCAAGACTGCGCGAACGACAGAACGCAGACTCCTTCACCCCATGGGAGCAGCATTTGCCGTAACAACCCATGATTGCACAACATAGTTTGCGCATCGTCAGGCGACTTTAACCTTCAACAGTATGCAGACAACAGTATGCAGACGACGTAACACGATGTTGAATTTGAACTCCACGTGGGATCATAAGAGAAAACATACATCGCTGCCTTCCCTTCAATCGTGTCCAGAATTCAGCGGCGGGATAGGCCAAAGCCTTCCTTCAAGTCGTGTAACCAGATAAAGCAGATAAAAATGAACGTCTACACACCAAGCTTACCTCCATGGCGTGACAACGAAGACCGACAAGTCGCAGTCGTCCTGTCCGTCCTCCTCCATCTCGGCTTCGCACGATGTGAAGCTCTTGAACGCCATCGGGTCGGGCGCTATGTATCTACCTGTTTCCATGGACTTGATGACCTCGGTCTCGATGCTCAGCTTAAACTTCGGGGCCTGCTTCTGCGCTCGCGTACCAGGAGTGGGGGAGGGAGGCGTGGAACGAGTGTGAGCGAGGTTTCGTTGTGGCCTTCACATTTGGAAGTTGAGGGTGAATTCTCCCGAGTGTCGGGTCACCGGACCAGACTTGGGTGTGCAGCGCAAACCTCCCTCGTCTATCTCCCTTGGCGCACGAAAACATGGTGAATGCTTTCAAATCTAAATTTGGTCGACAATCAGGGCCTGGACTCAGGTTTAAGGCGAGGCGACCCAAGAAATAAAAAAAAAAAACGCACTTTACGTGTGGGTATGATGCTATCGATCTGACTCTTAGCAGCACACAGCAGTCTCGATAGAATCGACTCCTGGAATCTGCCGACCGATCGAAGCCGGCAGCTCCATGGGAATGGGTGGGGTATGGGAAATCACCAACGAACCGACTTTGAACGCCGATCACTAGCGCGGCCATGAAAAGGCTCAAAAGACAAAAAGAAAAATCGGAGTGCTTACCACAGCGGCATTGGGCGCTACGCCCTCGGAGGGCGGTTGGTCGTTCGCGGTATCGGCCGTGCCACCGTTGGCGGCGGGCTGCTCCTGCTCTTGCTGCTGCTGACTGACGGCTTTGGTGGCGGTCGACGCCCTCGCTTTTGCCGCGGCCGCTGCAACCTTGGAACCCACCTTGAAGGCAGTGCCGCCGCCGACGGGCTCTGGAGCTTGCTCCTGCTCTTCGTGCTGTTCCTGCTTTTCGCTGGCGGCTTTCGCTGCGGCAGCTTTCGTTGCGGCAGCTTTTGCTGCTGCTGCGGCGGCGGCCTTTGCTCGAATGGCTTTCATGTAAGGCCCTCTGAAGTTCAGCTTGCGCGCTTTCCTAACCTGTTGTGGGTTCCAAGCGCATCGGGCAGCATAGGGAAGCGAACATGGGCTCTTACAGTAAACCACAGCACGAAAATATGAATCTCCCCCCTGTCACCCTATCAAAGCCGACCTACAGTGCTCATATCTTCTGTCCGGTCACAACGTTCTTGGTAACATTTTATACCCTGCCTTCTCTCTACGACATTGCTTAGTTGCGGTTTCGGTCTGAAATACATATCACCTGTAACAGAGATTATGTCCTGTCCCTTATAAAGAGACGATGGTCCAATCGCTTACGCTCGATCTGACCCAGTCTTTCACCAGCGCTTGTGTTCATCTCTTCACCTTTGACATGTTGAACTTGGCCTTCTTATGCACGATCCCAGAGCCGCCGTCGTCCACCAGCTGAAGGGCCCCCTCGTCGGCGTCGAACGTGTAGGGCAGGTCAAGAATGGAGCCGCTGTGGCAGCAATCCATAACCACGGACAGAACGACGCCCTCTGACAGCGGTAGGACCAACTGCCGCAGCCAACACACCCGCGAACAAAAAAATAGTGGGTGTCGGAATGCGGAGTATGTAGTGAAAGAAAAAGGTACTCAGCAACACTGACCCAGACATGCGGTACAGGATGGGCAACAGAGAAATAGAGTCGTGAAAACTACAGAACAAACTAGCTTTCTTCGCGGTATTTTTGTAACTGCTGGGGTCACCTGAGCAAGAATTATTAAACGCTCACATTCTGCGGCGCGGGCTAGGCGGTATAGGACCGAAATTGATTTTTCTCAGTTTATCAAGAATCCATGTTTGAGAGCATTTCGTCACAGCCAAGAATAAGCACCATGGACGATCACCCCCAACCCAACAAAACCAACACGCGGTGCGAACCTCAGCGAGAAGTTCATCATCCTTGATGTGTCCGGACACGCTGTAGTCGACTGGGATCATGGTCTCATCCCTCTTGTCCTTCTCGTTGTTGTCGGTATCCTCCACAGACCCGCCGTGTCCTGTGAACACAAACACGCGAAAACCAAAATGAAACGGAATAACTCAATCCCGTTGTTCCACCCCATCCTCCCGGTACCCCCCCTTTCCAAGCCGGCAGCATAGATACTCATAACTGTGGCCAGCACGCAGGAGGAACGAAAAAAGAAAAAACCCCACCGTCCGACATCGCTTCATATACACTGCTGTGCCCCACTGAGAGACGAAAAAACTCACCGGAGTAGTGCATGAAAAGCGAATCGCCTGGCGCGGCGCCCTCGACGAGCCACCTGCTCAAAACCGATACATTTCGACGGGCGGGGGGCACGTGAAGGGTATCGAAGAGAAGTGCACGACGGTGGTGGAGCAATAACACAACAAGTCGCTCCCATTGCAACAACAACGGCAACTCACTCGATGGCTTCGATGATGTTAGCCCTGGTAGGTGCGGTATGCTCCCCGTCATCCATCACGATCTTCAGGTCTTCGCCTTCTTCAGCAGGATACCCCTGAAGCAGTTTAAAATGCAGTACATATTCACGGTGGGGCATCATGAGGTAGGCACAACAGTGTAATTCCCATGTATTGTTCTACTTGTACGGTTCCCTGCGTAGACGTTAGGAATAGAGCCATCGATCAAGACCCCCGATCTAGCCATGTTTGACCCATAGAAGACGGCGTACCATACTCAAGTGCTTCGCGGTTCGCTCTCCCTCATTAGCTACTCAGCTCTCTTAGTGGATATCAAACAAGACAGTTACCGATAGGACATCGAGACTACCAATATTAGGTAGATCAGCCGAAACCAACATTTGGTGGTGTAGTTTTCGTAGCTCACGTGCTTCACGATGTAGTCCTTCATCTGCGCGACGTCATTGTGGCAGCCCTTGAGCTCTGCCGAGGGATCCCCGACGTAGTTGATGCCGATGAGGAGGGCCCGGTGCTTCCCTCCCTCGCCCTGAGCACAGCACAGCCGAAAAGAGAGCCCAAATGAAACAGTGTACAAGTAGCAGTTGCAGGTTTGCCTCACTTGAACCAAGATTCCGCACGCGACACACGCCACTAGTTTGATTTCTTTGCGAACGAGAACATGCTGCTGCTTAGAGAGGTCGCAGAGCCTTCGTAGAGAACGCGCCCCTTTCAGGCCACCAGACTAACCATTGTTTGATATTCTCGTCGGGGGGCTGTCATGGATTATCCACATTGCTCCGAATCGGCTCATAGGCTTGTTTTACTGACTAGTCTAGCCTCTTCAGTTCGATTTGACTCGGTTGTCTAGAACACTCAACGCAGGCAACAGCCCTCGTTAGTGTGTAGGTGTAGTACTACAGTTGCCGAAATACACCATACTCGCTCCTGTTGTCTCACCCCAGCCAAGGAGAAGGGCGAGCGGATGTCGAGCTTCTTGGAGGTGGCCATCTGGGGAATCTGTTGGTGAGATGCAGTCAACAACGGAAGGACGGAGAACAATGAAGGTGCGAACAATTTATCGTGGCATCTTGGTTGAGGGAAAAGCAACAGGACCTCGCTCTCGGCCAAACAGAAACCACGCGCGCGCCCCAGCCATACGTTTTTGTCATCTCCAACTAATCCAGTGACGGTTTCGTGCAAATGCTACCGTCTTGTCTTGTTTCATCGCCATCTTGTTGTCGTTGTCGTCATCCAAACGATTCAATTTTCACTCAAGAAGGCCATCTATTCAATTAAGTCGGTTTCTCGCGTATGTAAGCTTTAAGAGAGACCCTCTTCTCGATGCGTCCTGTTCTCTTACAAGGCCATGACCACGTAAGCGGTTAGGAACGAAAGTCGACCGAATGCGGAAGTTTGGCGGTCGTTTCTAACGATCAACGGACACACACAACATATTTCATGCACTCGCCGCGTACCGGTTGCAGGAGTAAACCCGCATCATACAGTTGAAACTATTTGGCAACACGAACCCCAGGTTTACCTGCTTGAACTTCTTGGTGCTGAGGGTGGTGCGCATGCTCTTCAAGAGGCTCATCCAGGAGTCGGGTTCGTCGTCTTTCTGCAAGAGAAGACGAAAAACAAACAACGAAACACACAAGACACACGAGAAAAGCGCACGAAACGGGGAAGGAAGGACTCACAACAGCTCCAACAGACCAAAAGGGGGCCAAAGCACGACGACTATTGTGGTGCTTTCCAGGATCGAGAGCGGAGGCGAACGCACCTATGGCGGCGATTCAGGCAAAAGCATGCTACCTGGTTGGGCGTTATTAGCCCCAAATGGAGACGTTCTTACATAGGAAAAAGACAGCACGAAGGCCAAACACGTCCGAAACACCATGACAAGGACAGCAACAACAACGATAACCAACGCAGCAGCCCTAAAAACTTGCCACGTTGACGAGGAGCGCGTTGGTGCAGGCACCCCCTGCGCCGCCGTCAGAGTTGGGCACGCCGAACTTGGTCACGTCGTGGACATCCGCCGAGGTCTGCTTGTCCTGGCACCCCGAGAACATCCTGTGAAGAGAAAAACACCAAGAAACGTTTTTTTACGATCGGAAGAACAGGAGAATGTCACCATCTTGCGAAACTGTCAGGACCCACGCGACTCGCCCAAAATCGGTAAAACGAGCTCTGAACGAAGTCAACAAGCATACGAAAATGACGGTCAAAGTATGTTGGTGTGATCGACGTCTGCCGGGGGCATTCGGGTTCCGAGGGACCGCAAAACTGTGCAATCTAACGCAACAAAGTCAACGGCGTAAGAACCAGACTAGACTTTTTCACATGCCCACCTGACGTCTGCCTTGATTTCATCAGCAATCTCAGTGTCGAAGTCGTCGTCCGACATGTCCTCCGCCCGGGTGTCGGGCTGAAATGCAAACACGCACGACACAAACAAGGGTTCACGATGTCATCGCTTGCACTGAGGGTCTCCCACACTTTCTACAGTGTTGATAAAACGCCCGTGGGGAATGCCGACGAGCAAGCCGATGGGCAGCCCATGCGCGACCAATGAGTGCCCTCCAACCGGAACCAGTGTGCTCCTAAACACTAGGGTCATATGCTTTGCAGCGGGCATTACCACGGCAAGTCACCTCATGCTAACCCTAACCCTAACCTCAAGCCCACACGATACGTGCTATGTAGGTTGGCGCTGGCTTAGTTCAAGGTTGATGTGCCGATGGCTGAGTTCTAGCTCGATACGCCGGGCGAGTGTTTTGTAGGAAGAAGTGGTGCCCCATGGGCGGTTTAGAGAAACTGCCAGTAGTTTGGTAGATTGTGCATGGATGGCGACAACAGTATTCGTTGATGGCACGGAGAAGGTGCTCCCACGTTCTTCACGCATCCCCCAACCAATGTGTGGTCGAGGTCAATGACCTGTTCATACCCGTCGGTGTGAGGGTTGCCTTGTTCGAGATCGCCGTTGGGCAATACAGAACGTTCGATTTTAGACTAAGCCTATTGCTCGAGAGGGAAACTGTTCTTAACCGTTCTGGAGAAGAAATCAGGAAGATACCTAGTGTCTGTGTCGCCCAGAAATCTCCTGTGCAAATCAAACCAGTCTTGCCCCACTTTGCCCCTCCCCCCCCCGCCTCCTTCTGTCAATACTCATGAGCCCATCTTGGAACATGGAGCTAGCTGGGTCAGCCTAGGGATAGGGTTAGGGTTAGACCTAACCCAAGCCTCACCCACACTCTGACTGAAGCCAAGCAGTCGGCCGTCACAACACACTGCATAGCAGTCAGCTAGATGAACTCCGCGCGACTTCCTCACCGAAGGGGGGTCTTGGTTACCATTATCATTGCTGTCTTCCCCCGGAGCATCGACCATGACGCCGTAGGTAGTCGTACGGTCGTCTTCCATCGTTTGCGGTGTGTTGTTGTTGTTGTTGTTGTTGTTGTTGGTGGTGGTGTCGATGTGCGTGTGTGCTTCAAACCTTGTGCGCGCTGCAGATTAAGACAGAAGGAAAGAGCGGCCGCCCCCAATCAGAGAAAATAGTAGTTATTGTAGGTCATTATGCCACTCCATGTCCCATGCACGAAAGGACTAAGGAGACTACGAACGCAGCTTTCTTAAATAGGACGAGACAAAAAAGTGGCACCGTCCGTAAATGTGGCGCCTTAGTAGTGCGCGTCTGGATGCAAACTGCTGTTGCTGCCATGTACGCCCGTAAAAAGGCAACCACAGCAGGCAAAGAAAGAGCGGGCCAGCTGCTGTATCAAGTGAAGGTTAAGAAGGCATCCGACGGAGGCTTTAGCGGACATCGCCAAGGGTCCGGATCATGACCTCCACTTGTTTTTCTCGCGTGATATTTTTTCGGGTTGGCACGTATGTACGCGGTGAAAGCACACGAACCGCATGGTCGGGGAGAAACTTATACTTAAGTAGGTAGTACTTCTGCTGTAGAAAAAATGACCCATTTTCTACGTAGCGCCCCGGAAAAACATTTACCCCGAAGCAACAATCTGCCCACCGCGCTCGCTGAACCACCTCCGAAAAAAAAACTTTATACTTCTCGTACAATAGACTGAACGATATCTACGAACAAACGAAGATGCGAACACTAGACTATGCTTTGGAACGGGCATCATAGCGGCCATCACCCAAACGCCAACCCCGACCCTAACCCCAAGCCCGCACGATGCATACGTGCTACAATGTAGGCTGGTGCTGGTGGCTAAGCTCTACATAGGTATGTTCATGCGTACGTGGCTAACTTCTACTTCCAAGGAGTTCTTCGTATTAATTTAGAGTTTTGGTGACTCATGGGTGTCCTACGGGCGGTGTATAGCAAAATTGTCATCAGTGTGGGAGACGACTGGGTGGAAAACACAATCTTTGACAGCCCCGGACCGGAATCTGATCAGCCCGCGAAGCTTCGCCGGTCGGTCTGCTGGAGATTGAACTGAGCAGCACGAATGACGACCCCGCGCAAGCCTCCGTACCGCGATACCAGCCTAACAAAATATGAGGACAAGGCAAACTGACAGCAGTAACTGCGATGTGGAAGCGGCGGCGAACACCAACCACATGTGCACAGAGGCGGAGAGGATCGCAGACGTTTCCGCTCGCAATAGCATGCACCATGCTTCTCCAAAACGAAAACTCATGGAGTCTCTCAACTCAATTCTTCCTGAGGCTGCTTGCTGAGCACCCCAGATGCTCAGCAGTCTCTTCAACACCAGACTACAGCAGTACTATAGGCCAACTGAAGGATCGGCCGCCGCGTTGTCCATGACGGAGATGATGAACGCCGTCCTCCTTTGTTTTGCAATTTACGACTGAGCGGGGTGGCAAGAGCATACTGCCCGCATCTACACAGCAGCAGTAGTTGCAGTGCAGATCGCAGCATTGCAACGTTTCATCTGGGGAGGGAGACGGCATCTATAGGAGAACGGAATACGTACAGGTAGCAGTAGTAGTAAGTAGTAGTAGACTTATTAGATAGAATCGAACGCTCTCGTACCTCCACCTCTTGTTTTTCAGTCAGTCAATCCCAGTCTCGAGACTATCTTGAGGCCTCGTCGAAAAGGAAGGGCAGCCAGAGGGATTGAGAGGACAATGTGCGTGTGCGGAGCGCGGATGGGAGAGTGGCTGGTCAATGTTATGGAGAGTGGCTAGTCAATGTTATTGAGCCTGTACCGTGCAAGCTGGCGCCGTACGCTTGAAGTTGTGGATACCACCACTTTCATCGGGACATTGGACACATGAACCAAGGGAAATTTTCTTCGCCGAATATTATTGGTGTTGCAGAACCAGTGGAAAGTTTATTTGTATTTTTGTTTTCAACCACCCTCTTGATCTTCGGCAGATTTTCGGAGCGGAGCAGCGGACAAAGGCCGACACCAAGCAAGGCCGACGCCGATGGTCATCTCTGCATCTTAAAACTACAGTCGGTAGTGGGTAATTACATGGTGGACATGCTCCCTCAAACGTCCATGTTTTCGTCTGAAGAACATATCGTCACGCATGGCCGTCAACGTGGCCCCGTTGGCGGGTGTTTCGAATTTAGAGCCCGGAGATGTTTTGGGTACTGCTTCTTCTGCACCCCTTCTCCAAGTACCCCTCAGCGCTATCCCGCACGACGATTCGAGCGCCGGTCTTCAAACCGCCGTCGATCCGCCGGATACCGCTTCTGATGCCTCCAGCTTCGCTGGTTGCGTCCCTGGTCCCGTATTCTCCGATGGGGATCCCCGTTCCGTTGTGCCGCCAACGGTCGGCCCGTTTGTGTACAACTTGCAAGGAAGTTCTACCAAACCGTCGCACGCGGCGTGTGGTGAAGGGTCTTCCGGTAATCCCTTTGCTTCACCTCCGCCGGCCCTGATGGAACGCTTGAGCCCGGA